AAACCCTGCTTCCATTCTTCCCCCAAAAGCTCAGCTTGTATTAGCTGTAACGATAACAAATTCATGAAGATATGTATTCAGGCAGATTGTAAATTTAGCCAGAGCATTTACGTGTTACTAAACCAAACAAAGATCTAAAGCAAGACGCAAAACACTAGAAAAACACATGTTCCAAAAGATATGGACTGAGATTTTTAAAGCTGAGTAAGGGACTCAGCCACACAAGTCCCAAAGAAATTGATTAATTATGTGGTTGATAATCTCAGTTTATATGCCAAGTTAAGTCCTGATATAAATTCATTGTCTTCAGTGGAGTTACACTGCAAATGTATTTGACAGATAGTCATGTTTCTTCTCCAAGAATAACTTCTAAGGCAGAAGGTTTAAACATGAGTGAATGAAAGTCCTGGGCCAAGTTCTACCCTAATTTAAACCCTGGACAAAACAGCTGACTTGGAAGTGAGGGTGTAAGGAAAGGCAGAAAGAGACATGAGTCTATTCTTCCTTTGCTGGGACATTACATCAATTCCCTTAGGTAATGATCATGTCTCCAAAAAACACAGCGGGAATCCAGATTTCACTTTGTTGGAGATTCTTTCCTTCTAAGCCTGCAAGTTCTTGTATTTCACAAGCAGTAAGTGTTCAGGGAAGAGCCTGGACTAGTCTCAGTGGAGAACCATGAAACTCACTCCTATTAGGTACTTCATCGATCCAAATCTTGCCTGCTTCAAAATGCATTTCATCTTTGAGGATAAGCACTGGAAATGGTCATTTTAAAGATGAACATTGGAATTAGTCACCTAATTTAATCAGAAAATGTGTTTCAGACATTCTCAACCTCAATGTTATTTTGAATCAAAACGCAGCATTTGGATTTTTTTTTTTTCAGTGTGTTGGGTTATTTTCGGCTCAGTATTAAATATGTCTAAATAAGGCTGACAGGTCAAGCAGGGTGCACACACCTTTGCTAAGGTGAGAAAGAAGTAATACCCATCTCAACTCTTCCTATGCAGCATTGCTAAGGACACAGAGAAGTTTTATTGCTTTGCCCGAAGCATCATTTATGCCAACGGCAGAAGTCCGAGTGCTACATCTCTAAGTGTCCTCACTTGTGATTATTCTGCTGGCCGAAGTTATTTTACTAAAAAGTGATGTAATCTGGCAGTAAATGAGCAAAACAAACAAAATGGCTCCACAGTAATACCCCTGCTCTAGGGGGATCATTGCTAGGGCAGGCAGTGTGAGGCAGCAAGCTGGTCTCCACACTGACAGCCCAAGCTCTTGGATGCCCTTCCTAGCTCTCCTCGCATTGACTATTTTCAGTCAAATCAGATAGCAAAGCCACATACATTGTTTTAATACTCAACTGGATGTCAGGGGCCCATCTGCTAAGCACCCCTTATGAGGCAAAAGTGAAGATATTTCCCATCCAACATAGTTTGCAATAGTTATAAACAGGACAGACACTGGATCAAGAGCATCTCATGCATTCTTCCCTTTACCGGGCCCAAGCAAGCCTTATGCAAGTACTTTATTACCGGCAGCACCTAGCAAGCAACTCGCTGGGCTTGCTGTGCTCCCCGCTGAGACCTGCCAGCAAGGGAGACTAATTGCCATCTGGCCTTATGCATGGCAGCTGACTCCCACCCTTCCTTTCTTTTCTTCAGCTCCATCCTGCATATGTGCTTATTTGTTATTTGTGCATACAGGCCTCCCTGCTGGAGATGAATACAACCTACTTTCTGCCTCCTCACCAGAGCTTACATCTGTGATCTCTGATTCTTCACCTCTTTAGCACTCAATGCCTGTACAATTTCATCCCATGTACATAAATGTACCTCTTTTCTCCCAGGCTCATCTCGGCAGCTGCGGTCCAGTTGTACCTTTCCTTCTTATCACTTGTCACCTCCTTCATTTGGGCCACCTCCAAAACCAGCTCTTCTCCCTCTTTGCCTTCAGAGCTGCAGCTCTCTATCACCTGTCTCAGACATTAGTGCTTGACAGACTTTCTTCCAGTCCCCTTCGCCACTTTGACCCTTCACTCCAGCAATTTCCATCTACAAGTACAAGGTTATCGTAACTATAAGTGGACTGTGTTTAAATAGGAAAATAGTCAGACAAGTTCCCCCACTCTCTTCTGCCTTTTCTCTGTCTCCATTAGCGATGATCTGGATGAGGGAATCGAGTGCACCCTCACTAAGTTTGCAGACAACACCAAGCTGGGTGGAAGTGTTGATCTGCTGGAGGGTAGGAAGGCCCTACAGAGGGACCCGGACAGGCAGGATCATTGGGCTGGGGCCAACTGCATGAGATTCAACAAGGCTAAGTGCCAGGTCCTGCACTTTGGTCACAACAACCCCATGCAATGCTACAGGCTTGGGGAGGAGTGGCTGGAGAGCTGCCTGGCAGAGAAGGACCTGGGGGTGTTGGTTGACAGCCACCTGAACATGAGTCAGCAGTGTGCTCAGGTGGCCAAGAAGGCCAATGGCATCCTGGCTTGTATCAGGAATAGTGTGGCCAGCAGGACCAGGGAGGTGATAGTGCCCCTGTACTTGGCACTGGTGAGGCTGCACCTCAAATACTGTGTTCAGTTTTGGGCCCCTCACTACAAGAAGGATATTGAGGTGCTGGAGCGTGTCCAAAGAAGGGCAACAAAGCTGGTGAAGGGTCTAGAGCACAAGTCATATGAGGAGCGGCTGAGGGAGCTGGGGTTGTTTAGCCTGGAGAAGAGGAGGCTGAGGGGAGACCTTATTGCTCTCTACAACTACCTGAAAGGAGGCTGTAGCAAGGTGGGGGTCGGTCTCTTCTCCCAAGTAACAAGCAATAGGACGAGAGGAAATGGCCTCAAGCTGCGCCAGGGGAGGTTTAGGTTGGATATTAGGAAAAACTTCTTCACCAAAAGGTTAGTCAGGCACTGGAACAGGCTGCCCAGGGAAGTGGTTGAGTCTCCATCCCTGGAGGTATTTCAAAGACGGGTAGACACGATGCTTGAGGACATAGTTTAGTGGTGGACTTGTCAGTGTTAGGTTAACAGTTGGACTTGATGATCTTAAGGGTCTCTTCCAACCTTAACAATTCTATGATTCTATGACTCTAGGTCCAGGTACAGGCTCACGGTAAGGCACTGCAACACAGGTAGCACATCACTGCTTCTCCTTCGGAGTACAGCTGTGGAGGAAGAAAGCATTTTTAAAATCTGTTCTTCAAAAGGAAGGTGGTAAGGAGTCTTCTGAAAGCATGTTGGGAAAACTTTTACCCTGCATCACTTCCCCAGTCAGAATAGAAAAAGAAAAAAAAGAAAAAAGAAAAGAACATGCTGTGTATTTTACCAGCAATTAGAGAACCAATTACTAGCAATTAGAGAAGAGCCGTGACCAAACTTTTGAAACATAGAGATGTTTAAACTATTCCAGCTGAGGTAAAACATGGGGAAAAAAGTCCTGGTAGACATCATCATGAATGGAAAATAAGCTACACAGAGATCTTCTTGCAATATGACATCCACATTAGGACCAGGACTTGAAAAGTTACTTTGGTTAAGAATTGCCACATTGACTCCGAGGGCCAAGGACAGCATTTCTGCAAAGGCTAATAAGATTAAAAAAATAGGATTTCCTAAGGAAAATAGAAACTTAAAATAACACCAATTTAAAATTCCTTCTTATATAAGGATCTCATTTCCTTAGGGTCAGCTTCTTATTACCCCTCCCAAGTGTGAGGCATAGTTAAATCTTCCTGAAAACTAATGTTCTGATTGTATTTAAAAAAGTAAGTTTCAATTAAGCAAAGCTTAATTAATTATATTCATTCTACAGAGTGTTGCCTTGTCCTACTCTTGGGCACAAAAATCTGGGCTGTGGGGCATTCTCATGACTAATTTTGAAAAGGATCAGAACTGGGTTTAGCTGTCACCTTTTCCTGTCCACCTATAACTGAAAGAAGATCAGAACAATCCTGTAGGCTGACAAGGAAAGCTTTTCCTATAGCTGAAATCACTGCAATCATAGCTAATGCAGTGATATCTCTTGCTCCATTTTAGAAATGCAGAAAGGATTTTGAATAGTTGGCAGTGGTGAACACTGTTTACAGCACTAGAAATTCAAGGCACTGCTTAGTTTTAAGTTAGAACATAATCAATATCCTGTCAAAGCCTTTATAGGTTGTTTTTAAGAGGGGGTGGAGGGATAGAAAAAATTAAATATAAGAACATAAGTAGCAAGATCTTAGCCCATAAACTGATACTGAGAACTAGTTATCCAGTGCTCCAAAACCTAAAGCTTTATTTCTACTCCTGCAAATTCATTAATAGCATTTGTTGACCATTGGTTTAAAACATGGTAGCCGATTGCTTCAAGTGACAAGTAGAAAAAACATGCAAGATAAATTGTTGCAAGGAAGGCATGCCAAAATACAGAAGGAAGCTATTTAGCCAATTATATGTTTACCTTACAAAGTTTAAAATCTGAAGGCAAAGTTTTCAAGAATTAAATTATTTTGAACACCCCTAGTTTTGAAGCTTCAAAGCATCGTGGTTCAAAAACTGGCAATCCTTTTTCCACTGGTTATGGGAAATCTAAAGCATCCAAAATAGTGTTGGTTTTTGTTTGGTTTTTTTTTTTTTTTTTTTTTTTTCCAAAGGTCATCTGCTCATAGCACTGTAGATGGGGTTGTTTTGGCTTTTTAATGGTAGAAGCTATTGTGACAGAAAAAAGTAGAAAAATATTACAGACTACCTCCTGGTATTCTTTATCCTGCATTGTTACATGGGTAAATGATTAATGCTGTAAAGAGTTTTGGTTTTTTCCCCCTCCAAAAGTGTAAAGTGAGCCACAAACAGAGAAAAGGTCTCAACTGCCGGACTAAGCAATGCTGAATTCTTCTCACAGTTCAGGGGAGCTGCTACATGCTCATTCACACAGAAAAGTTTGCTGGGAAAGCTTTAAAAAAACAGATGAGTTGATGGCTTGTGCATCTCACCTGGAATCTTTTTGTTCCTGCAGCTCTCGTTGTACGCTTCCTGACCAAACGGTTCATCTGGGAATATGACCCGACACTAGGTAGGTTGCATTTTATTCTGTACACAGGGTATGCTGTATATAATAGCATGGCTGAAGTAATGGAAAGTCGTAGAGTTAAAATTCCAAGCCTCAGTCAACCTTTAAATTTGCTGTAAAAACCTTCTCTATGGTCATTTAAAGCTGGAACAAATTATTACCTAAGATGTCAGAATAGAGAAGCAGTAACGCACTCAAACGAAAGCAGAATTAGTATATGAGGCATGTTTCTGCCCACGCAGAAGTCAGTGGGAATATTGCCATTGAAAGCAGTTGCATTAGTATTTCACTCTGAAAATTACTTAGTGTGCAATGAGTTTTCTGCTTTTGGATAACCCAAACATCAGCTGCTAGAGAATAAGATGGCTGCGATACAGATCTCAAAAATTAAAGGGAAAAAAATTGTAGGTACTTACAGTCAGTCTGCCTACCCTTAGGTAAGTTTTTTGTCCTCACTTTCAAACATACATTGTGTCTCACTTTTTGGGTGACCAGATAGGGACACCAGTCATCAAAAGGGACACGTATCCTCCATTGCTCCCACTTAGCTGTTTTAGGTCTGGCACTTTTGAGAAGCTGTCACAGATATCTCAAAAAAATCGTGTCAAATGGTTGCTTTGAATTAGAGGCCTCACTTGAAAATTTGGGCCAAGGTCCGATTTCTTAGTATTTCCTAAGTTAGCATATATTTGAATGCTCTGGACTAGAGAAAATCCAGGCCAAGAAGTCTGAGATGAGGCATTAACATCCTAGAAGGTACCTTCAATACCTCAGGACTAAGCGATTCACACATGAAGTAAGGGGCTGGAAATTTCCTTTTCTCCTACAATCTGTTGCCATCTTCTTCCTAACCTTCCTTTGGAGGCTTCAAATACAGATTGTATAGTTAAATATCTATTTCTTTGTTAAGGTTCTTTCTCTAAGAAGTCTCACTAAAGAAACAGAGAACACCATAAAACTTGCACAGCAGAAACAAAGACAAAAGTTTAATACACTTTGTTGCAAAACCCAGGCAGCCCTTTCAATAAAGCAAAGCGTCCAGTATTGTACTAAGTATTTTTGTCTGCTAAGATGAAGAAATGACAGATATCAGAAATCTCATATTGGGAAAATAATTCTCAGAACAACCTGAACTTGAATACATTCTTTTATCTGCCAATATCAATATATTATCAGTGAATTGTATGTCACTTGCCTTGTACTGCACAGTGGGATGTTCAGCATAATATTCTATTAGTATTATTAGTACTTCACATCTCTATCGCTAATACATCATTTTAAGAACTTGACAATAAATGTATATAAAATGTTTTGTATCAGTATAGTCCAAGTTCATCAATTTCTTACGGGGCACTGCATGCAAGAGTATCCTTGTTGCCTTGTTTAAGCACACTAACTTATTAGCAAGCTGCAAGTTTTATTATTTTTTTGCCCCATTATGAAGGGCCCATGCCCTTTTTGATGTACAAGACTTGACATTTGTTTTTGTTTTGCAAATGAATACAACTGCCAATTAACCATGCCCCTCAGGAATCTAATCGTCTTCTGTTTGCAACATGGAAACCTTTCATGCAGACAACAGTCCTATCTCGACAAAACAAAAAATAAATCTCTTCTGACTTACTAAATTCTATGTTCTCATTCAGTTTAGAGGATAACAGCTTAAATTATATGTTACAGTTATTGCAAAGCTAAGTGCTTTAAGTTGCTCAGAGGAAAAGGTTTGAGACATTCAAAAACTAATAAACTATTGCCAATAAGTTATTTCTTAATTACAGTAATCTCTGGTGGAAGCTGCCCACCAGAGATTGCTTTTTAAAGTATTCTTTTTTCAAACTATGGATCACAATGGGATTCAAAGGAGGCTCTGAAGTGTTGGGGGGGGGGGGGAGGTCCCCTGAAATTTTAACCACTAT